TGCAAGTGATCGCGCTGGCGCCTCCATGTGCTGCCGAGCTTCAGCTTCCACTCTCCACACAAATGATTGGATAAGCATCTAACAGCGCACATTTATCTAGTTAAACATTTAAACTAACATTGTGATATGCTTGAACTGTTTTATATCTATATATTTTATTTTAGGCAAGTCGTGATGATTTGAGACGGCTAAATTGATCAAACATATAGGCTATGATCAATTCACTGTCTGCCGCTGGCCGCTTGGTCGTTACAGTGAAAAAAAAAACCTTACATTTAACGAACAAAAAATGCTCCAAAGGTTTTCTAAATTTACTTTATAAAAAAAACTAAACGAAATATAATCACTTTTCCATTACATACAAAACTGAACTATTTTAATAGCTGAAACAGTAGTATAAGCTTTTTTTGGGAAAAGGGGAAAAAGACGGGCTAGGGCCTATATTTGAGACCCGTGCAGGGCTCTAATCCACTTCATCCAACGCTGTTTTGTTCTCATCTGTGAGCATGCTCTTGATATATGTATTTTACCATTTTGTTGAGTTTAAAACGTGTGACGCATTCGTTCTGCTCTCACTGATCATTTGGTCCCCCCCTACAACATGAAAGAAAGCCATTATAACATGTACATGAAAAATGTAGAAACATTGGACACAACTACGGGGCACCATTGTGCAGCAGCAAGCATCACAACAAAAAAGGAACCTCAAGGTTGATTTAAGAAAATGTGTGCAAATGTATAGGGCCCCATTCCTATATTTTGCCTGGGGCCCCCAATTCACTAAATTCGCCCCTGAGAGGAAGATGCCCTCCTTGAGACCAGTATACATTAATGCTGACATTTAACATATTTACAGCTAAGTTCAGCATGTACAGGGTGATGAAGCATCATCCAATGTATTTTATGGGGGAATAAATGGAAATATTAGACAATTTTTCAGTTGTTCTAAAAATGAACAACAAAAAATTAAAATATGAATTCCGTACTGTTACAAGGTAACCCGTTTACCTGGGACAAGAAGCCCCCCAGTTTAAATGTAGCTATTCCAGTTGTCATGGTATTTTTGTGGAATATATACTACCATTTGACATTCAAATAAATGCTGCTCTTTTTAACTTTCTATTCCTCAAAGAATGAATAAAATGCTCCATTTCACAAAATTATGAAGCTGTTTTCAACACAATAATCTTGTTTCTCGAGCAACAAATTAACATATCAGAATGATTCATGAAGGATCATGTGACACTGAAGATTGGAGTCATGATGTGGAAAATTCCGCATTGCATCACAGGAATAAATTACATTTGAGCATATATTTACACATTTTAAAGTGTAATAATTGTTCACAATATTACTGTATTTATGTTCAAATAAATGAAGCCTTGCAGCATAAGAGACTGCTTTCAAAAACATTAATAAATGTTACCAACCCCAAGTTGTCGTCATTAGTGTGAAATACTAACTCAAATATTTTATGTAAATTTATGCATTTTCCAATTTAGACAAATAATAAAATAAAATAAACAAATAGAAGAATCCCAGGCACTGAGATACATCTGAATTGCACTCTATAATACTATTAATGTGGGTGGCATGGTGGCTCAGTGGGTAGCGTTGTTGCCTCACAGCCATGTCTCTGGTTGAAGTCCTGTTTAAGTTTTAGGCCTTGTGTGGACTTTGCATGTTTTCCCTATGCCTGCGTGGGTGGTTTTCCTCCAGGTGCTCTGGTTTCCCCTAAACATACAGCATAGCTGAATTTGGAGACACTAAATTGTCCGTAGATGAATGAATTATATTAATTAGATTTTCTATTAATTAGATTGTATAATTAATTTAAGGCATTTCATAATAACAATAAGATTTCACAGTGATTCCTCTATGCCCTATGGGTTATGACTGATAATTAAGATGTTTGAAATTTACATCTTAAACAGTAAAAGCACCAGACACAACATACCACTAGTTGCCTTCTGATTCAATTAGGGGACTTTCAGTTCCAACTCCCTCTGCAGCCTTTTTGCTACACACATAATTAATTTCTCAAATCATGAGGCTTTTCAAGGAAAAGTGAGCTATTACTTTTCTAAGTGATCAGATTACCATTTTTTCCCCCTGATAGATTGTTCAACAGGAGAAAATTCCCATAGGCTTTCACTGATGAAGGGTTTCAAGGCATATCTAAAATGTCAGAGTGTGGATGCTTTTCACTTGAAGTTGTAAGCAATCATATAGCGACCGCTCAGAACACACTAGCAACCAAACAGCAATTCCCTGTTAACCAAAACACCCTACCATTCTGGATGCAAACTTTGCATGAGCGAGCATATACACTCTTAAATAAAGAAGGGTTTTCTTATTGATTCCCTACCCAGGCTCATTAGAAATACATATGCCTGTACCTACATTTCTGCAAAACTCAAAAAACGTACCTATACATGTACAAATCGCTGCAGATTCCAGTTGAAATGAGCACTAGAGGCAGTAAAACTTTTATTCCTTTTCACACAAAGTATCATTTACACGGCCAGGGTTTTGATTTAAAAACCTCACTTTCGCACAATTCCTTGCACAATAATATCTTATAACTTTAAAGCAATTTTAACTAGTGCTGTCAAAACGATTAATCGCTTCCAAAATAAAAGTTTTTGTTTACATGATATATGTATGTGTGCTGTGCATATTTATTATGTACATATAAGTACACACACATGCATGTATATATTTCAGAAAAATATTTTATGTCGCTTGGGAGACCATCGTCATCTACTTACTCACCAACCGCCAGCTGGTGGTGGAGGACCATTTCATCAGACAGATGGACAACGTTTTTGACTCTATGATCTGCATCTCTGTGGTGGCATCCATGTGTAGTCTTCTAGCTATAGCCGTTGATCGCTACGTCACGATTTTTTACGCTTTAAGATATCACAACATCATGACGGTGCGCCGGGCCTCGCTCATCATCGGTGGGATTTGGACCTTCTGCACAGGCTGTGGAATCGTCTTCATAATCTATTCTGACAACACGTCTGTCATTGTGTGCTTGGTCTCAATGTTCTTCATCATGCTCGCGCTCATGGCCTCCCTCTACAGCCACATGTTCATGCTGGCACGTTCTCACGTCAAACGCATCGCCGCCCTGCCAGGCTACAACTCCATCCACCAGAGAGCCAGCATGAAGGCGGCCATCACCCTGACCATCCTTCTGGGGATCTTCATCGTCTGCTGGGCTCCGTTCTTTCTCCACCTCATCCTTATGATCTCCTGTCCCAGAAACCTCTACTGCATGTGCTTCATGTCACACTTCAACATGTACCTCATCCTCATCATGTGCAATTCGGTCATCGACCCTCTCATTTACGCTTTCAGGAGTCAGGAGATGAGGAAAACGCTGAAGGAAATCATCTGCTGCTACAACCTGAGGAACATCTTTGGAATGTCCAAGTAG